CTTTCCTGCCGTTGGTCAAGGCGTGCTGGTGCCGAGCGTTCTTTATTCATCTTACCGCTACTCTGGTAGCTGCACTGGACTGGATATAGCTATAGTATGCCTTTGGGCAGTCCTTGGCTCTGTTTGCTAGTCTTCGTTCAACTTAAAGACGGCAACCCATCTGGACTCTTTTTGGCTCTTTCACTTTCCCCTTGTATTGCAACAGGCACCTATGGCTTTTGCTTTTGCTTTTAAATCGCCTCCACGCTTGCTTTATTAATCATTGTGCCTTGGTGGCCTGGCTCGTCCACCAGGTCGGCTTTATCCTTTTTTAACTGCTCTAGGTGGTGCAAATTCCTCACTGAGCCGCCCGAGCTTCCCTTTGAAGAGCTGCCAGCCCTCCTAAACACTCCCCTACTGCACGTTCCATTCGAGTCTTCCAGCCGATACAAGCATGCGCTCTTTACCGATTTTATTATGAGCCCTTCACAGCCTCGGTGAAGCCACATTTATCGCACCTGGGATGGTGAAAAGCAATACTCCATGTTCATTCCGCCCAAGTTGTGCTGTGATTCTCAAGCAGTCGATCTCGCTAAAATGTTTCGTGATCAACAAGTCCAGAAGCCCAGGGTTATTCCCTACCCATCACCTTGTTGGACTTGAGAGATACTGAACAAAAGAAAGATCTAGTGCGATTTTCACTATATCGTCCCCAAATGTGTTGGATGGAGTTATCAGTTCCTTCCATATTGCCTCAGGGGCGTTGAAGTCTCCAGCAATTACTACGATTCCATTCCCCTCTGCTGCAATCTTTAGGAATGACAGCAGCAAGCGATATTCGTCCTGACTTGATGCTGGGCATTGGTATGCACATGCTACGCAGTTATCCCTTCCCAGTGCTTTGATGTAACACGAAATGACTTGAATGTTTGGCGTCACTGACTGCCCCCAGTCACTTGCTTATGATCGTTGGCTACCAGCACCATTACTGCTCCGTCAATTCGCCCGTCACTTCGATCTGCCCTGTAGATGCAGTATCCTGGTGGTGCCAGCGACTTTACCTTTATATCCAGAATTATCTGAAGGGTAGTTCAAATCACTCATTTTCGCATTTACTTTTAATTACCGCAGATATTTTCTGTCAATATTTGTAACATTTTGGCTGGATAGTGAATCAGGCTCATTATCAGAGGTATGACTTCCTTATTTGTGATTTATGATTAATGCAAAAATAGTACCGCATATTATTTTTGGATCAACTTGGTTCTCGATAATTTGGGCTACGCGTTGCTCTAAAATTTGTTTATCGTTATCCAGAACGAGCGAAGGATCATTTGATTGAACGCATACAGACGAGGTCTTTTTCGTTTCGCTCGGACCAGGACAATCGCGTTTTGGTCGTTACAGTACTCTGATATGCCCGTCACTCGGAGAATGAATATGACGAACAAGGACGTTGATGACGAACAGCGGGGATCCGACGACGACACTGGAGAATCTCGGCAAGTCTCTTTGCATAGCTTTTCTGTTCATGGCTCCAGGGTAGTGAGTCTAGTCGGCTGAGCGATAAGTCGAAGCTTAGCGTGTCGGTAATTGAAATGAAGGAACGCCATCTGCGAGAGAAAATGGAGCAGCAGATGAAAGAACTTCAAGAAAGACATAAAAGCGAACTGCCAGCAGTACGACCAGAATTGGAGACTGCAAGGCTCGCAGAAAAAATGGAGGATAAGTTGTCCATCCGTTCTACCGTGAGTAAGGACGGAACGAATCGGGTGATGCAGTTTGTCGAAAACCATCCGGTATGGGACGCTAGGGAGGCGGCTGATCTTTTTGTTACTAGGAGAGCAGGTTTCGGTGAGCTAGAGAGAAAACATAAGACGATGACGTCCACATAAGGCCGCATTACTGCGAATCTAGACCTACCCAAAGTAGAGCTTCTGTCTTTCTCCACAATGTACTGGAGGTTCATTCGACAATTTCAAATATACGTTGCGTCCAAGACTAATGATGATGGGCAACGCTTGTTATATTTGCCTCAATACTGTAAGGGGAAGGCTAGAAGCGCAATTGAAGATTGCATCATGTTGCCACTCGCGGTTGGGTACGATAGGGCATGTACAATTCTCAGAGATCTATTTGGGCGCT